TTAAATGCGATTTCTTGTGATTGCATCACAATAATGAGTCTAACAATCTTATTGTTAAGTTATTGAGCCCGAATTAAATTGTCTTAGAAAATTACTTGTTTTAATGGGGCACCTATGAAAATAGATGACGAGTTCCATATAATGAAAATATATTTGTTAACTAATTCATTCTATTTCTCAAAATAACGATATATTGATTATATAATTAACCTCAAAGAACTCAAATTAATAATTAATTTTTATAATTTGTTCAGGGTTTAGATGTGTGTTTGACTGTTAATAACAATTAATTAGGGCTGAACAAAAAAATCGCAAAACTGCAAATCGAAACGAAACTGATGAGTTGAAACCGTTGGTTCGAGTTCACGTGGACCCGTGATTTCTTTTCCCTCAAACCGAACCAGATCGTTTTAAAATGGTTTGATTTATGTTTTGATTTTCAAATACCGGACAAAATTGAACAAAACCCTTTTTAAAATTTTTTAATTAAAATATTAATTTTATTAACATAAAAATTTTACAGTTTTCACTTTTAAAAAAAAAAATACCAATATAGAAATACAATTACAACCAGCCTATTGAAATAATCATAGAAAGTAAATTGAGTTTATCATTATTGACATATGATTTAACAGGTTTATAACACACGTCCTTACCCGATATCTAAGCTAAACTAAAATTATTCCAAAATCATATGTAAAAAAAAACTTATATTTTGAACCATCCAAATCATAATTAAACAAAACTATGTTAGTAAATCACGTCCAAAAGGTAACTCTACATTTACCAAGGCGAATGGATTTTTAATCAAACTATAATAACAGAATATAACTCTACATTTTCCAACCGCTCTATAACAATATGAATATCAAACAAGAAGAGGTAAATAAAAATGAAGAAATATGTATTTGTTCTATTAACATCTTTTAGCAACGAATTTTGAAAATAATTTACTTATAGATTTCATGGTAAATATGAATGTAATTTAATATTTAATATGATTAGTTCTTGTTTAAATTTATATTTAACTTATGTTAAATACATTATTATAACGTCGAAAGGTAAACTGCGGATTAAAATCGAACCACACCGCAAATTATGGTTTGGTTCAAAAATAAAATGATTTGTTTTGAAAAAAATTCAAACCGCAGAAAATGGCTTAAGTTGAAAATATAGCACAACCCACCCAAATCGAACCGCATTCACCCCTAATCGTCACATTATTAAACGTTACTTGGTTATGTCCAATGATCATCATCATCGTCATCGTCGTCGAAGTCTAGACAAACTTTGATAAATATAATATAATCTTAACAAAATAAAGTAGGTAAAATTTCATAAGTATGAGTTTAAGTATATACATTCGAAAATCAAGAAAATAAGTTTCAAACTTCAAAAATCAGATTTTTATTAAATTTATTTATGATTGAATTAATTAATTAATTATTAATTAAATATATTTAGGTCACGGATCTATACAATTTGACCACAAATTAACAATTTAATTAGTCACAAATCAGAAATTTTATGTCACAAATTATTTAACAATCACAATTCAAAAATCTTATAATTCATGGTTTGTTCATCGGTTACAAACCAAAAAATTAATTAATCACGGATTAATTTTTAGTCACAACTTATCAAATTATTGGTCACAACCTATTTCTTGATCACAAATCATATATATATATATATATATATATATATATATATATTATCATGAATCAAATATTACAAATCACAAATATTATATATTACAACTTATTAGACGATTACAAATTATTAATTTTTTAGGTCACACATTAATTTGTAGTTACAATTTATCTTTTTTATTGGTCACATATTGTTTATTCGTTATAGATTAACCAATTCGCCGATCACACTCAATCAAATAATCTATGATCATCACCAACACTTACAACCATCACTTTAATGTTGCTTCCAACAGTACCACCACCACTGTCATCGCCAAAACAACCACCATATTGATCACAAATTAATTAATTTATTAGTCACAGCTTTTAATCAATCAATAAAATCGTCACAAACACCCACACCCCATCCCATCATCAAACCACTGCCAACCACCACTAGCGATGTCGCCCACCGTCACCACTGTCGACATCACCGCCACTACAACACCAACATGACCTACGCCCCATCCCACCACTCCAAAGCACCACACCACAGCCAACAACCACTAGCAACGCCGCCCACTGCCACCACCGTTGACATCACCGCCACTACAACACCACCACCATCGCGACGAATTCTACACGGATAGCGACGTTGAGGCATTGCACACCGGACTGTGAACACCTAACAGAGAAACTCCCGACACAAAACCATTGGGCACCGGCCTCAACCACCAGATACGCCACCGCCAACCACCACCACACATACCATCACTCACTTCTATCGACGATTTGCCCTTCTTCTGACCAACGATTCCAGATTTACCCCCACAAAACTGCCACCACCACAACATAAAACCCCACCAAATCTTTTGTGCACCGTCGCGCAACAAAGATGAATTTGTTCTTTTGGCCGACGATTCACCCTTCTTCTGGCCAGCAATGATGGTTTGGCTAAGAGAGACGACTGGAGTTGCGGGTATAGAAACAGAGTAAGGAGAGAATGTAATATAGAGAGAGAGAGAGAGAGAGAGAAAGGAAGGAGTTGTTGACCTAATGGTTGACTTCTTGTTTTGATTATCACAAACAAATTGCGTTTGATTCTAACAAATTGAATTTAAGTGATTATTGCAAATTTATGGCACGAAAGATCTAGATCGAGAATCATGCAACATTGGCGCAAAATGATAAACACACAAGCAAGATTGAAGATTTACGAATGAGGAAATGAAAATCGAGCTTTCACGCACAAAATCGCATTGGATGAAGAAATTGAAGACATTAGTTTTAGATGCATTTCTATACTCAAATGTAAAGGTAAAACATTTTAATATTTTGCATCGATTATAGCTCAAACAATTTTTATGCACGAGAATTATCATGACAAACTTTATTTGCATAAAAATTATTTTTAAAAGATAAGTAATTTGATTTTCACAATTAAATCTTTATGAAATTATTTATCTATATGAAGTATATAAGAAAACCCTTCAAATACCTTAAAAAACATTTTCACGAAGAAGGAAAAATTCGATGGGCAAAACAATTGCCCATCCAGACGTCCGGATGGGGTCTTTCGAGCGTCCGGATGGGGTGTTCAACGGTCGAATCTTTTACCGTTTGGTAAACGGCTAATTACCCGTCCGGATACCAAGCGAACATCCGAATCACTTGTCCGGATCTCCCATTTGATAGCTATAAATACCTCTCTTTCTACCTTTTTTAAAAACAAGAATTCTAGAACATTAAAGAGAGTTATTTATTGATCTTATTTACCTTGTTTTTCAATCTTTAAGAGATCAAAATATTTATTTGTTGAAAAAACTTTTTGAGTGAGTAACTTTTTGAAAAATCATATATCTCAATAAAAGTTTTTCACACAACACTTGAGCTGTATTCTTAGTGATTTATTGAAGTGTTGTGCCTAATTCTCTCTTAATATTTCGTTGTGTTCATATCATTTGTTAAGAGAGAAGCTTTTTAATTATTTTTCTTGTTCATTAAATTGTGGATCGTGTTGAGGTCCCGGAAAGCTCAACGTGTAAAAGGATCGGTGCTCTTTAGTTGTAAATTACCAAAAGTGTTGTAAAGCCTGGATTACACCATAAGTCAATCAAAGATAGTGAAAAAGGCCTTACTCGTGACGGAGAGTTTGATAACGGGGGACGTAGATCGTGATTGGATCGAACCTCCTTATTACATTGTTTGCACTATCTTTTCCCTTTCTCTTATTACTTTTGTGTTATCTTGTTTATTCATAGTTATTTGCTTAAATTTACGTTTATTTTCGAAAAAGTATCAAATAACCAATTCACCCCGTGCCCCTCTTGGTTAGTGGTTCATAGGCTTTCAGGAGTAAATTGATTAGGGTTTTGAGATGAAAATTATATATTTAATATTTATATTCAAATGAGAAATATCTTATTTGTTAAATGTGAAAGTTTTCACCCGATTTTAGAATATAGGATTTTAACACTAGGGTTTTATGTAATTTCCATTATTTACTAAGGATGGACAATTATTTCTGTTAACTTTATAAATTGAGTCTTTTGTACTTAACATCTTAATACTCAATTTATAATATCCATGATCATGGAACATATTATTGCTCAAATATTAAATGCAATTATTATAAAAATCAAGCAATCATACGTTAATTTTTATTTGTCCAAAACGTAGTGTCAAAAATGCTTGATTTTTTTATAATAATTGCATTTCATATTTGAAGCATATAATTGCTAAATCTCTTGATCGTTCACCTGGCACCACCTATTTGATTCCTCTTATGCTAGGACGGTAAGATATCGAGGTTAACAACATGCTATAACTTATTTTAAGTATATGAGGCTATAAGCCTCAGATCACGCAGGAATATGATAATTGCTAATGCTGGGAATTCTCGAGCTATTTTGGTTAAAAGGGGAAGAGCGATCAAACTATCAAAATATCATAAACCGAATTGTACCTTTGAAAGAATCAGGATAAAAAAGCTTGGCGAAGTCATTTATGACTGCTATCTCAATGGCCAGCCCTCAGTAGCACATACATTTGGTCACTAGCACATGAAGGGTTGTAAAGGTTCAAACTGTCCCATAAGCTCAAAACCTGAGTTGGAAGAGGTTGTCTTAACAGAGGAAGACGAGTCTTAATAATCGGTAGTGAACTAGTGATGGCCAATGGTGCGTGATGAGCAGCCAGTGTACTGTAAGTAGATGATGCTGCAAAAAAAATCCCAAGAAGTGCTCGAAGGAGCTTGTCAGGAAGGCCATTAAGCGCACGTGTGATAATATAACGGTAGTCGTGATCTGTTTCTCTTTGGATCCTCCGTCTTGGATTGAGATTCCGACTTCGGAGAAGAGTATATCAGCTGAAGGAATTTTGCCTGTGTAATATCTTAAAACTATCATTTTGCTTGTGCGACGATGGAGTAAGAAACATCTGAGGATCTTCTTTTTTATTTCTGCTGTCTCAGCTCTATTGAAGATTTATTACTGCATACAAAACATGTTGTGAGCTTACTGAAATTCAGGATTCTGGATCATTAGGAAGTGGAGAGATTCCTTAATTTTAGTCCTGTACTAGGAAGTAGGCTGATTTTCAAAAGTGAATTAATGTTCCTAGTCTACTTATTGATGCCGGATATGCACAAACTTGATAAAGAAACAATAAGCTAAAGAGACTAAAGAGATCAAAGGGAAGAACTGAGGGCAAAGAGAGTTGTTTTATTTCATAAAATTCAAGTTGTTTCAAAATGATTCCCCAAGTCCCCTTTTTATAGTGAAGGACTTCGAAACTAAACAAACTTCCTTTTTATCCAGATAAAAGATAACATCAAACTTCCTATCTTGATAAATTGAAATAAATATAACATTAAAAATAAACCGAATTAAAAGATAACATCAAATTTTAATTCTACTTAATCCTAGTATTTCGCCTTAAATAAACTTTTAACTCTTTTCTTGTTGCATCACTTACATATTTCATAACGGTCATAAACAAATTCTATAACGTTATTCCTCCGAGTCTTCTTGTCAAAAGTTCACGATCAGGGCAACTCAAGACAAGGCTGCAAAAGCACCTTTCTGCTACTACAAGTTATTAACATTTAACCACAGCAGAGAGCAGTATAAATTCAGATGCATAGGAGAAGAGAATCTGTGAACATCTATTAGAACAACAATTGACTTACAAATTTTACATTTTTATCAGTGTTCATAGAGTGCGTTACATTCGGATTACATATGTATTTATACATCTGTTGTATGTATAAAACCCAGTATATATGAACCATAAATCTTCTAATACAAGTAACTAAAATGTTGTACCTTCGAAGTACTTGAGAAACCATTCTTCTTCCCTACAGTATGCGTACATGACTTTGTATACTTCAATCAATAGTTTTGGGTACCGAGTCTTAAAATAGCTATCAAATCCTTCTGGAACCGATCCGATTAGTTCCTGAAATGTAACACCGCCGATGAACTTTAGTAACTCGTAATAATCATATGGTATTTTAAAAGATAAAGAAGATTTCATGGTTGCCGTCTGCTGAAAAATACAATTGGCACAAATTTCACACAAAGTAGCTTGCCTATTAAACCCCATTTTGGGCCACATTTTAATAAAGTTTTGGGAAAATACATTTTGAAATGGTAATTTTTAGAGAATGTGTGATTAAAAAGGAAGGACAAAATTTATGTTTACATTTAATATTATTTTATTAAAGAATGTGTGATTGAAAAGAAGAAAGAGAAAAATGTATTAAAATTTAAATGGAGCCAAAAATAGGGGCTAAGTTTGAACTGCAAATCAAATATAGGGCCCGTTTTGTACGGCATTTTAAAAGTCATAAGCTGGTTTTGAGACTAAGAATCTGTTTTTAGATCTGTTTGAATAATTATCTAGAAGTGTTTTGTCTTGTTAGATGATATTATAAGCAAGCTAATCCATAGTGACTTTCTCGTAATGCTCTTCCGTAAAAAGTAGAAGCAAAAGCAAAAACCCTGTCAAATGGTCTCATAGACTTAACAAGTACCTGTATTTCTGTGGGAAGTTCTCGATAATGATTCAACTTGTTACGCATGACTCGTAATAAGTGACGAACACTGTCATACTTATAACGTCTGTAGCGTCCAATGTTATTAAGAAATGCAGGTTCCATCTTTTCATCCCACTTTGCACCTAAAGCTAGAGAGGCTGTACTTTCTAAAGCTTTTAAGAGAGGAGAATCCGTCTCTCTGTCTTCCAATTCTATCCTGTCACTTGTGTCACGAAGGAAGGATAGTCGCAGCTCAGCACTCCAAAATAAGGGATGGTAAAGCACCTCCGATGCCTTTGGCCTGAAATTTAAAAGGTCCATGGTAATCAAAAGGCGAAATTTGAAAATAACAAAATAAACCTTAGCGGGAATAAAATTAAAGCTAGCTACTTGAATTATTTTTCGCAACTCCATTTAGCCCATTGCTTCACCTACTTAAAGAACCATGCAGTCAGATTCTTCGTGCAAATATTGCTAATTCTTGAGGTGAAATCATAAGACAACTATACAGCGATCCAATAAATTCTTTATCTTAAGTTTTTAAAATATACATGACAGGTTGGAAAATACTTTGTTACCAATATATTCATGAATATATTGGGATTTTTTTCCCTTTGAGGTACCGAGTATTTAATATCCAAAGTAGAGATCGATCTTGTCGCTGTGGCAGAAATTCTCATGTTCATCTAAACAAAATTGAATTGATCAATTATGCAGAAAAAGCTTCTACAAGATCGAAAAATATAACTAACAGATTGATCAGGTTCTAGGCACTCTTCCAGGTGAAAACATCCTATGCATTAAGGGATAATCATTTTTAAGAGGCAGTTTCAAATTTTCAGTTGTCACCACAATGTTCACTACCTCATTTCAGCATTAGGATTTAATAATTGAAAAAACAGATCCACAGCTTCTGGAATGTGTTCCACCAGGAAAAGGTCAACTTTATTCTTAGCGATATTGATATCACGTTCAAGAGGGTTACCAAAGGGATGTCTACCACCCGTAAAGCAGAAAAACAGAATGCAACCTAGACTAAACACATCGACTGCCCTTGTTTGACGCTGACGAAGAAGCTGTTCAGGCGCTTGCCATCCTGAACTTCCACAGCCTGCATTAATTCAATCAATAAAACCAAATAAATGACTTCTCATAGTGCATGTTTAGCAAAGCTTTATATATATATATATATATATATATATAT